AGTAGAAGTAATCTCGGAAGTATTTTGAGATGATTCCACTTCTAAACCTTGTTCTTGATTTTTTAAATCACAGTCACCTGATGTTAATAGTTCAATTTGTGACTGAGATGATAGTGTTTTCATCATCTCCATAGCATTAGCTACTTGTTTAGTCTTAGATTTAGAGAGTTTGAATCCTAGAGCGATGCAAGTATAATTTAACAACAGTTTAGATGTCTTCCCGAAAACCTCTTTGACCAACTCCGTCAGCTCCGAGTATTCAATAATATTCTTGTTGAGGCTCGTCTTGTAAAAAATGTCTTCGTGTGCATTTACTAGTGAGTGGTATTTCATCTGGGCAGTGTGTGTCAATAACTCTCCATACGGTATGTCATTCAACTGATCATCATTGTCTGCTATCTTCTGGCTTGATATAAATCCTGAATCAAGGGTAGTGTTATCTTCTAGTGATTTTCCCGCTATCTCTTGAGATGTGTGCTCTATCTCTTCGTCCAATTCGTCAAGAGTTGGTTTGAAGTTGTCAACCACGTCATCTTTTACTTGAGGGTCTAATAACTTAGTGAAAATGTTATAGAAATAATTGATGTTACAGAAAGAAACATTATCTTTTTTGCAGTCGTTCAGGTAATCGTTGTAAATGTCTGTTATGGTTCTGCTTCTTCAATGTAGTGTTTTGTAGTATTTTTGCGAGTATAGTGACTTTCAATTTTGGGAATTCTGTTGATATGGTCTGTAACTCTATTTCTAACTGTTTCATTCATCTTGGGCTGATTACCATGCTTTCCTCTTTTATCTTCGGCCATAACAGCACCCAGTAAACATTTATACGAATATAAGACGTATAATATACGTAAACATTAAACTAAAACTACGTATATTATACGTACATATTTAGTTTAACCCTTCAATGCGCGATTTTTTGAATTTAAAAAAAAAAATGGATTTGAAGACTTTTAGTTTTATTCGCAGCTATGATATTGAACCAAAAAAAAAAACACTAAGGTTTTAAGTGTTTTTTTTTACTTAGTGTTTAGTAATATTAAATTTGTTGCATAGTACAATACATATATATATTTTGTTATTGGTGGAAAGTGTAGAGTTTCGGGCACTCGCCCGTTCTCGAATAATATAGGTGCCTTGTATCGGTAATTAATTTTTTTGTTCAGAAATTCGGACAATTGTTCAAACGTGTATTTTGAAGATTTGATCAAATCGTGGATTCTCGAAATACAATAGAAACATGCGTCCACCACGGTGTGTTCGTCGATAAATATATTTATACATTGCGGTTTATTGATGTTACACAACACGCATGATTTCGATCGAAATTTACTTCCCAGAGTTCTGTTGGTGATAATTCCAAACGTCTCACAACCGTCTAGAATTTTTGATCGCTCGTTGTTTGTCAATACATATCTTTCATAATCTTTTTTTTTAACAATAACCCGTTTTTTATTCTTCATTAATTCCAACAATTTTCCAATCTTATAACTATTATTGGGACGCTTGCCGTCGTTTGTATCTGGTTTCATTGGTGCCGTCGTTTTTGCTGGAGACGCGAGTTTTTTTTTTTCAATATTTTTGGTTTGAACAAATCTCTTATTTCGTACCGGGTCTGTGTGTGATACGAAATACTTTCATCGATCGCCGATTTTAATGAAAATATCGGATTTTGTAAGTCTTTAAACAACAAATCGATTTCTCGATCGTCGATTTTTGTGACATCGTCTGAAAAGTAACCGTCAAAACTGTCTTCGTCGGAATCTGTAAAGACAGATGCGTGGTGGTTGTTGTTGTTGTTGTCGTCATATTTTTTGACTTGTCCCGACGTTGATTCGGACAAGTTCCCCGTGTCGGAAAAACTAAACACATCTCGATCCGTGTCCGAATTCGAAAGCGAAACATTTCGAATTCGTTTATTTTTGTTGTCTGCGTATTTTTTGAATTTGCGTTTTCTATCGGTACGAACGATTTCAGTTTCGTCGTATTTGTAATCGTAATTTTTTAATATGTACTCGCGTTCGTGCTGTTTATCGGATAAGTAATTAGAATCTCTGTAGTCGTCACCGATCAGCCACAGAAGATTTTTGTTTTCTTTTAGAGTTAACTTTGCGTTGAGAAGTACGTAGTCGTTTTCAAAATTAAGAATCGCGTACATGAAAATACGCACCCACTCGTACGGGGGCAACGCTGGTAGGTTTGACAATATGACGGGCGCGAGAGCGTAACTTAAAATTTTGTGCGATAAAATTATCAATTTTATTACGATTTCTTCGGATACATCGATGGCACGTTTTATGTTATCGATGGCACTTAACGATATTCGAGCCAACAACGCTTTTTTGAATTTTAACAAAACAGTTTCAGTGTAAGAGAACGGCAAAATGTCGGCTTCGTAAAAATTAATAACATTATTATTGTACAATTTAAAAAATAAACCAGTGTTCGAACTAATTATTGTATTTGTGTTCTTCAACAATCCGGTTTCCGTTACGTACGTGACAAACCATTCTACCGATATCATAAACATTTTATCGATAGCTATGCAGAATTCCAACGGTACCTGGTTTGAGTTTTTGAAAAAATTCTTTAACAACGCGTAAACGTCGAATTTAGAAAAAACAGCCGTATGTGGTATTTTTTGTCGCGTGACTCTGGTCGAGTTGGTGGTGTTGGTGGTGGTGGTGGTGTTAAATAGGCGATTAGATTCCGGAACGCTTCTGACAAGAGAATAAAATATACCAATGTCTTGCTGCGAATCGTTAAGGTCACCCACGTTGTAAAAATTACACACGTTGAACAGCCAACGAACGGAGTGTTCACGGTTTCTTAGGCCCGGTGCACACGTCCGGTTTTTGCCGCTGCGGCACCGCAGTTGTTGAATACACACCATTGCGTTTTTGTTGCGGTAACCGCACGTCATCCAGACGCCCGAGACGGCATTTGTCATGGAATATCACTTTTAGTTGCCATTCAGTCACCAGCTATGGAGGTTTATTACAAAAAAAAGGCAATTTTTGCTTACTTGGTGCACAAAAAATATGTAAGAACGTATAATAGGCGTTACTGGGTGCACCCATTTACAGATTGTAGATTATTAAGAGGTGAATTTTATACTACATTTAGTGATATAAGCGAAAATCCAGAAAAGTTTTTTACTTATTTTCGAATGAGTGTTCGTTCGTTTGACGAACTTGCAACAAGAGTAACTCCAAAGATAATCTCTCAAGACACGTGCATGAGACTCTCTATACCACCACTAGAAATGATTGCAGTAACTTTGCGGTAAGTTAATTTTATTGTTATTATTTATTTTATAACAGTTTTGACAATATTGCATCAAAATCACGAATATTTACAAATTATTTTGTGTTCATAGCTAAGAATTGCAAATTTATTACAAGGTTGTCCATAAGTTTTGTTTACAATAATTATAAAAAAATCAAGCGTAAGTTAAAACATTTTACGTGCGTCTATACTTTAAATTTTTATGACTTTCAACATTTAAAAATTCTCGCGTAACATAAGGATTAACTATCGAAGGTTTTAGATTTAAAATAAATAAATAAAATATCCTAGACTGACAAATCGTCTCCGTTCAGAATGGTTTTTCGTATACAATGATACCTTTCATTGCATTCAAATTTAACACATCCATTTTAAATTACAGTGAGCTACTCTGTGACCGAGGTCCACTCCGCCTATCAGAAACGGTATTATTATTGAAAATCGGAGCACTTTTACTGCAAGAAATCATGATGACAGGCACAAAAAAAAAAAAATATATAAAAACACACATCATTGTAAAATCAATACATTCTTCGCTCCGCTCAGAATCTAAAATTAGATAATATACTTAAATATGTTTAATAAAAGAGTATAAATACATTTATAAATAATAATTTATTTAATAATACATATTTATTTACTTTTAAATAATATATATGGGTAACAAAATAAGTACGCATAGGAAAAATGTAAGTAATTATCAAATACCAAATAAAATAATGTTAGTTTAATATTTTTAATTAGGGTCAACACTATCTTCTTCACTATTATTGAGATTGTTTCCAGCTGAGTAAGTTGACGTACATGGAGATATAGGATTGGAATCCATCCCAGAGTTATTTGATTGAGAAAGTGTAGCAGAATATGGGCCAGGTTGGATATATCTTGGCGGGCATTGTTGCATGTAATTTGATTGAGGAAGTGGAGCAGAGTATGGACCATGTTGGGCATATCTTGGGGGGCATTGTTGCATGTAGTTGGAAGTTTGATGTTGGTAAGATGCAATTTGAAGAGAGTAGTTTGATAACTGTAATGTTTTATTCGGAGATGCATAATTGTGATTCATTGGTGGATAACCATAGTTTTGTGGTGGTACAGTTGCAGCCCTCATCCGTTTTATAATATTTAGGACCTCACAGCGGAATTCTATTTTCTGCTCTTCTGATAAATTTGCAATGGACGGCAATATGCTTTCGAAAAAAGACCTGTCTGGATTTGCTTCTGGAGTTGGTGTTGTTATGATTTGATTAGGAATCGGAGTGTTTAAAAAATCTATTAAAGATGACTCTAAGTCATTTTTACGTTTTTTTGATGAACTGCTTTGAGTGTAGGATGGAGGTATTTCAGCTTCTTCGTTAGGTTGGTTTTCTAATAATTCTATATCCTCCTGTTCGTCGTTCCCATCAATACTACTCTGTGTATTGGTTGTGGCCCCGGCTGTTAGTAAGAAAGATAGTTGACGATCATAAATGTAACGTCTCCCAATGTTGGCACCCTGTCCTGACTTTGTTTTGTTTTTTTTTTTGATTTTTAGTGTAATTATCTTTTATGTTTCTCCACTTTTTGATAACTTTTTCACCTAAGAAACAATACATTTATATAATTTTTTAACTAACCAGTATAATCAATACGGTACACTTCCAAAAAATCCGTGGTAAAAAAATCTATGATATATTATGAGTATAATTATATGAGTCGTAATTTTATTACAGGTACTTGGGAAGTGGTTGTGATCAGATAGATCTACATTTAACTTATAGGATAGGACACTCAACGATTGGAAAAATTTTGAGAAGAGTTTGCGGTGTTATATGGGAAGTACTACGAGCTGAATCATTTCCTGAGCTGAACGAAGAACAATGGATAGATATAGCTGAAGGATTTCAAAACTACAGTCAGTTTCCCAATTGCTTAGGAGCAATTGATGGCAAACACGTTAGAATTCGTAAACCAAAGATGAGTGGGTCACTTTTTTACAACTACAAAAATTATTTTTCAATTGTTTTGCTCGGCATCGTAGATGTAAACTACAAGTTCATTTATATTGACATTGGCGCTTTCGGTAAAGAATCTGATAGTACGATTTTTGAAAAAACAAATTTTTATAAGACACTTGAAAATAATACACTGAATATTCCAAAAAGCCGACCCCTTCCAGGTACTAATATAATTATGCCTTACACATTTATTGGCGATGAAGCTTTTTCCCTTTCGTCGAACATCATGAGACCTTACAGTGGAAAAGTGTTGTCTCATAAGAAAAGGGTATTTAATTACAGACTTTCAAGAGCTAGGAGGCATGTGGAAAGTGGGTTTGGTATAATGTCAAATAAATGGAAAATATTTCATAAGCCCATAAATGCTAATTTGGATTTAGCCATTTCAGTAGTAAAAACCTGTTGTTCACTTCATAACTACGTTAGAGTTAGAGATGGAATCAACATACAAGATGTCATGAGTGTAACGGGATTTGTTGACACAGAACAAGACGGAGAAACAACAAGAACAACTAACCAGTATATACACACAAGAAATAAGTTGGCTGATTATTTTGTTTCGGATATTGGCAGTGTTCCTTGGCAAGATAAATACATTTAATACCTTTTTTAAATATTACATATTACTCTATGTGTTATTTGTATGAACTACTTGTTGTATTAAATTTTTAATTGACATGTAATAAAACTGAACATTTTATAAATTTGTAACTACAAAATAATGCAAGGTATATATAACTAATTAATTTTCGATGTTTTAATAAATTTATTCAACAAATTTTAATAATACTCGTATCATGAATAACTTACAAATATCATTTCTTTCTTTGTCGTCCCTTTCATCAAACGATGGAAAAAAATTCTGACAGATACTTATCCACGCACTTCTTTTTTTGGTCCTATCGTGATAATTTTCATCAGCGATGTTCCAAATTTCTTTATAATTTTTAACTTTGCCGATCAACAGCTCAATATCAACATTGTCGATTTCGGACATCTTGCGTGGAAAAATCGCACGTGTGCATGAGTCGATATACAACAGGGTACTACTGAACCGGATTTGCGTGCGCGGTGCCGTTGCGGCGACGTTATTATCTGCGGCAGACACTGAACGCAACGGTGACGCAGCGGCGCCGCATGACATGTGCACTGTACAATTTGATAACATATTAATTACGCCGTATTTGCGGTACCGCAGCGGCACCGCAGCGGCAAAAACCGGACGTGTGCACCGGGCCTTACTAACTGATTGTATGTGTCGGCGAACATTATGTGATGCAGTTTTAACGCAGAAAATAAACCTTCTATAACTTTTAAGAATTCAAAGTCAACCCTTAGGCTCGGGCCACACGATGCGTTTCTGCCGCATG